TTTATTTCAAATTTATTTAATTCTTCTTGCATGCCAAGTATCCATTAGTCATCTTTTACAGCTTCGTTAATCTTTGAAGGTTCTATTTGAGAAACAAATGTCATATTTAAGAGCGCATCCTTGAGATTTAGTCTTATTGAAACTTCTTTACTAATGTCACCAATAAATTTATCTATGGGTGATCACGATGAGTTATCCATTCTTGAGGTAGGTCACTTTTATTTTTCTCTTATTGTATGTTTTCCTCTTTGTGTTCCAATTGATCAACCTTGTCATTTTTAGCAATGTATTGTGAAATTCTAGCAAGCATACGATGGATGTTATCACGAATATTATAACATCCACTGTAACACAGACTATTGGAATAATTACAAAGCTGTAAAGGAAAGCAGTAAATCATACCAGCAATTGTTCATCCAGTTCAGTGTCAACAACACCTACATCTGGGGGCTACCAAGCCAGGGAGAAAATTCACTATCAGCAGTATTAATTCAGAGTCAAACACACCAATTTGCACTCTTCACTTAAGACCTACCCAATGACACTTCAACCTAGAGACACTCTAGACCTGAGTATACCCACTTACTCCCCCTCAATCACCTCAGTGATATACAATTCACAATTACAAAATAGATATAAAGACACACTTCATACACACCTTGATCTTACTTCACAGCTTTGATCAAGGGACACACACATTCTTGCTTAACAGCTTTGAGTGAGACACAGCTTAGAATCTACCTCACCAATGGAGCATACAGTTGCTTGGTGAACAAGTATTCCTAAGACACAATTCACACGAGAAGACTAGCCTTCTTCACTCACAAGAACTCTTTAATATGCATTCTCAATTCTTCTGTCAAGAGCTGCTCTTCTAGGATTGCTCCTTCTGTTATTTATAGCAGCAGTCATTCCTTGGGCCTGGGTGCATAAATTAGGTTTAACATACCAAACCCTATTATTCAATCATCTGCGCACTTGCCATTTAATTCAAGAGCATTTGTTTCGCTTTAGGGCTTTTAAAATGTCTCCTGTATTTCAGCTTGAGCTTTTAATAAGTTTCCTGATTTCTAGCTACCAGAAAACTAATATACTTGTTGGATGTCATACGATCAGAGTCATGACATTTTGTATGACATTCAACTTAACTAACATTTAGCTCAGTTAACTTACCCTACACAGTCCACATTATGTATGTACTACCATCAGTTATGACATACATACATACTCTAATGTTTTGCCATAAAATGCAGCCAATCAAGAGCACTTACATCTTGCATAAGTACTTATAAGATATCATAATCATCATCACAAGAAACTATATCCTCCTTAGAGGGGTTAGTTTCATAAAATGATACATACATTGATTCTTCAATAGTTAAATTTATTTTATGATAAATTTTATAAGCCTTACTAGAAAAAGAGTAACTAAGAAAAATACCTTCGTCAAATTTCTCGACAAACTTATCGAGATTGTCTTTGTCATTGTTGAGGATAAATCACTTACATCCAAAAATGTGAAAGTGAGCAATGTTTGGATTTCTTCCCTTGAATATTTCATATGGAACCTTTTTCAAAATTGATCTTATGATAACTCGGTTGCTTACATAACATGTCGTGCTTACTGCATCCACTTAAAAATATTTTAGTATATTCGAGTTACTTAGCATGGTTCTTGCAAGCTCAATTAGAGATCGATTCTTTCTTTCAACTACTCCATTTTGTTGAGGAGTCCTTAGTTCTGAAAAATTATGAAATATGTCATGTCCTTCACAAAACTATTCAAATGATGTATTTTGAAACTCTCCACTATGGTCACTTCTAATTGATGCAATTTTTAGTGATTTTTCATTTTGTATTTTTTTGCATACTTCTTAAATGCTTTGAAAGTGTCACTTTTTTGCACTAAAAATAGTGTCCAAGAAAATTTAGAAAAATCATCGAAAATAACTAAGGCACATACATTACCTCCAAAGCTTCTTATTTTTGATGGGCAAAACAAGTCCATGTGCAACAATTGAAGTGGTATTGTAGTTGTTACCACATTCTTTGGCTTGAAATTTAATTTCATTTGTTTTCCTTTTTGACAAACATCACATAATTTATCTTTGACAAATTTTATCTTTGGTAAACCAATGGCAAGATCATGTTTTACTAGCTTATTTAAATGTTCCATATGGATATTCTTTTATGCCAAAGTCATGAGTCATAATTACTTACCATAAGACACTTTATTTTTAAAGATAAATCATCTAAAAAAATCATGAAAATATTATTAATTATTTGACCCATAAGTTTTACCTCATGTGTGACTTCATCTTTAATTAAGCATTCATCATTGGTGAACTTGATTTTGAAGTCTTTGTCACAAGGTTGGCTTATTCTAAGAAGATTGTGTGTTAGTCCTTCTACATAAAGTACATCTTCAATAGTTGTGAAATGTGGTGCTCCAACTTTGTCTATACCAACAAAATTTCCTTTGTTGTTGTCCCCTTAAGTGACATATCCCTTGACCTTTAGGATTAGAGATGAAAATTTGTTTATATCTCTTGTCATATGCTTAGAACAACCATTATCAAGATACCATAGATTTGTAGTGGTCTTTAGACAAACCTACAAAACAGATTAAGATTTGTTAGGCACCCAACATGCATTGAGTCCTTGATAATTAGTTCCTTTATTGATCCATACATAATGGTCACTAGCAACACTAAAATTCCTTACATAGCAAGCATTAGGTGTATGACCTATTATACCACAATAAAAACATGTAGGAACAAAGTTGTTTATATATCTAGGAGCATAAGGATTTTTTCTAGCAAATATTTTCTTAGGATGATGATGAACATTTTGCACTTTATTCATTTTCTCTTCATTGGATTCGTCACTTGCCTTAACATAGATAGTTTTACTAGTACTCTACATATCAACTTTTGAATAATCAAGTCCACTTTTATTATTAGAATATCTTTGTCTACTAAGAATACCTTCCAATCCAATTTGTATTTTTTCATATCTTTCAGTAACTCTTTTTAATTAGAAAATTTGAAAAGAAAGTGAATCACACTCATTGCATGTAAACTTTTGTTTTTCGTTATCAAAATAATTATGTTTTTTTTTTATCAAAATCTTTTTGCAATGTGTCAATTTTCTCCTCAAAAGATAAAATTTGTATCTTTTGAGTTGACATTGTTTTCTACATAATTTTACACTCATTGAGTAATTCATCTATTGCTCCTTGTGCATCATTATCATAAGAACGTTTTTCATTACTAACCTCATGTTCTTCATCATCAGAATGATTTGATGCCATCAATGCAAGATTAACGCGTTCATCACTTTTTGAATCGGGTGATGAACTTACTTCATTATCATCACATGAAATATAAGTCTTTTTGTACTTTAATTCCTTTCTTCCTTTATGACCACTTTTATTTCCAAGTTTTGGACAATCCGCCTTCATGTGTCATTGCTTTACACATTCAAAGCAAGTGTAATTTTATGTTGACGTAGAGGTTTCTTTCTTCTTGAATTTTTTTTAAAGTTTAAAGATTTATCATTATTGAAAAACTCATCTAACCTTTTTACAAGAAGCATGAAGTTCTCGTCTTCATCCGGAGCATCTTCTGCTAATTCTTCCCTTGAATCAACTTTTAAAGCAATGTCTTTGATTTCTTCTCTTGAATCTTAACTTATCTAGTCTACCAATTTCAATCCCATGCTCTTGAAGTTTTTTGAATAAAGATGTGGATGACATAATGGATAGCCTTTTCTTTTTAAATATTGTCGTTACTTTTGGTTGTCATTCTCTAGTTAAAGATCTAAGTACTTTAAGATTAAGTTCATTGTTAGTAAAAGTCTTGCCTACAAGTCAAGGATTGATTCTTCGGGCTTCATAAATATAAATAAATATATTATTTTTTATATTTCTTTTTGTATTTTATATTAAAATACAAAAGTAAAAATTAGTTATCTTGAATAACTTGTGATAAATAAGTTGAAAAAACTTTATGAATAATGTTATAAGTTGTTTTTACAAATTTTTTTAAACAAATAATCTCACAAAACTTATGCTTCTACGTAAGCTCAAATAAGTTTATGTAAATAAACATTTAGTATCATTGTACTTTTGATTTTCTAGTATATTTAAACATTAGTTGAATTATTTATTTGCATATGCTCAAATGAAATAGATTTTTTAAGTAAGATAATAGGCTAATTAGGTATTCAAAAATGAAAGACTCAAGTTGAAAAATAATTTTTTGATAAGTCATAAGTCAGATTTAAGCTTTTATTGTTTTAAAAGGTTAAACTCAAATTTAATATGACTAACTCGATCTAACTTATTTTCAATCTCTAATGCGAATTTAGATATTTTGAATGGTGTGTATAGCTAAACAGGAAATGACATGCTAAATGGTCTAGTCCATCAAGAGTGATTGTGGGCTTAGTAATAGCAGTGGGTTTATTTTTGTAATTTTAATAGTAAATAAATAAATTAAAAAAAAAAAAAAGGTTTGGGTTGAAGGTAAACCAACCAGTGTGAGAAGTGTACAAAATATACGAGCAGCAGAAGACCGGCTTCGGAGGAGAGGATCGGCACGAATATCGGTTCTTCCATTCCTTGTGCCGAAATAAACCGGTTCAGTTACCATCATTTGACCGCTGAAACCGGATCCACTCAAATCCAACCCAACCGGAGCACTACTTCTCTATACCCTGACCGGTCCATCTTCACGGTTCTCTTCTCTCTCACACGAACTCGGTTCTTCTCTCCCACTGATAAATCGATTCAATAAACCGGGTATCTATGTACTTTCATTCTTCCTCGTATCTCTTTTCATTAAATTTTCGTTTTTTATTTGATAAACTTAAGGTTTATGCTGCAAAGATTGAATCTTTACGATGATTTATCAGTATAGGGATTGGATATGATGTTGGGTATTGACTAATGAGAAATTGCTTGTTGTTTGTTTAGTTTACACTATCTGGGTTGTTCTATGGATTCAAATCTTGAACCGATGCCAATTACTTCACAAAAACATGACCCAGCATGGAAGCATTGTCAGTTGTTTAAGAATGGGGAGAAAGTGCAACTCAAGTGTATATATTGTCTTAAGATGTTCAAAGGTGGTGGGATTCATAGGTTTAAGGAACACCTTGCTTGTCAGAAAGGGAATGCTTCAATGTGCAGTAGTGTCCCTGCTGATGTTAGGGCTCATATGCAGCAGAGTTTGGATGGGGTTGTGGTGAAAAAGAGGAAGAGGCAGAAAATTGAGGAAGAGATTATGAATGTTAATCCTTTAGCTACTGTTTTGAATGGTGCTTCTAATCAGATGGATGTGAATCATATGGTGGTTCAGCCTGTTGGAGTTCTTGATTCAGTGGAACAAAATTCATGTCACATGTTACCGTCTCTGGGTGATGGAATGAGTAAAAATGTAGAGAGAAGGAAGAAGATTAGAGCTACTAAGAATCCTGCAGTAGTGGTTTATTCAAACTCTGAGGCTGAGACTGGTGTTGCCGCTGTGGAGAAGAATGCGACCTTCCCGAAAAAGGTGGACAATCATATTCATATGGCTATAGGAAGGTTTTTGTATGATATCGGTGCGCCTCTTGATGCTGTGAACTCGATATATTTCGAGCAAATGGTTGAAGCGATTGCTTCTGGGGGGTCGGGTTTTCAACGTCCCTCGCATCATGAACTTCGTGGCTGGGTCCTGAAAAACTCTGTGGAAGATGTGAAGAATGATATAGATAGATGCAAGATGACATGGGGGAGGACCGGCTGTTCTATTTTGGCTGATCAATGGACTACAGAAGCTGGTAGAATACTGATAAGTTTTCTGGCTTATTGTCCTGAAGGCATAGTGTTTCTGAAATCCTTGGATGCGACTGAGATATCGACATCGGCGGATTTTTTATACGACTTGATAAAACAAGTAGTGGAAGAAGTTGGGGTCGGGCAAGTTGTGCAAGTGATTACATCGGGAGAAGAACCATATGCTGTTGCTGGGAAAATGCTAACCGATGCTTTTCCTAACATTTATTGGAGCCCTTCTGCAGCTCATTGCATCGATTTGATACTTGAAGATTTTGGAAATCTTGAGTGGATTAGTGCAGTGATTGAACAAGCTAAATCTGTAACAAGATTTGTCTACAATTACAGTGCAATTTTGAATATGGTTAGAAGGTATACTTTAGGGAATGATATTGTGGATCCCTCGTCCTCGCGCTTCACGACAAACTTCACCACTTTGAAACGAATGGTTGATCTTAGACACAATTTACAGGCCATGGTTACTTCTCAGGAATGGATGGATTGCCCATATTCAAAGAAAACAGCAGGCTTGGAAATGTTGGATATTCTAAGCAATCAAACATTTTGGTCGTCGTGTGAAATGATTGTTCGTCTGACACTTCCACTCTTGAGAGTTTTGAGAATATCTTCGAGTGAGATGAGACCGGCAATGGGATACACTTACGCTGGCATGTACCGAGCAAAAGAAGCGATTAAAAAAGCGCTTATCAAGAGAGAGGATTATATGGTGTACTGGAATATTATACATCAAAGATGGGATAGGCTTTGGCATCATCCTCTTCAAGCCGCAGGCTTCTTTCTTAATCCGAAATTCTTCTATAGCATTCAAGGCGATATACACAGCGAGATTCTCTCCGGGATGTTTGACTGCATAGAGAGATTGGTACCTGATACACGAGTCCAAGATAAAATTATCAAAGAGTTAAACTCGTACAAGTCGGCCGCAGGAGACTTTGGGAGAAAGATGGCAATCAGAGCTAGAGATAATCTGCTTCCTTGTAAGTGGCCAATAAGCTACTCACTCAGATAGTTTCATACTCGTATATTCAGTCACTATGTCGTGATTTAATTTTCCTAACTTCAAGCAGTATCTTTGAAATTTTCACTTGTATTTTCCGTTTTTGTAGCTGAATGGTGGTCGACATATGGAGGAGGCTGTCCTAACTTGTCACGCTTAGCCATTCGCATTCTTAGCCAAACATCAAGTGAAATATTCTGCAAGAGAAGCCAAATTCCTTTAGAACAAATAATCAATACAAGGAATTATATAGAGCGCCAACATCTTACTGATCTGGTCTTTGTTCATTACAACCTCCGATTGAGACAAATGTAAGAAGCTTGAAATGTTGTACTCCAATAAATTGTTTCATTACTGTTGAAACTGAAATGAACTTTGAATCGTTTGATTTTCTTTCAGGTTTATGAATAAAGAACAAGAATCTAGTGACCCCTTGTCATTCGATAACATTTCTAATGTTGAAGACTGGATCAGGCCACGGGAGTTATACTTAGAAGAGTACGGGAACTCAGATTGGATGACACTCGATTCGTCTTCCATTAACACAATGCTTTCAAGGCCTTTAAATGATGAACCTGAAGAAATTTATGAAGGTAAACTGTACTCTATTTTTGAGAAATGTGGAAACTACCGGCAGTCTAGCGAGGTAGAAAATGCGATTGACTAAACATGTTTTCATCTGTTTGCAGGGTTTGATGATCATGAGATTTTCATTAGTCTGAAAGACGATGAGAATGTGAATCCTGGAGACTCGTTCGAAAACCCTTAGCGAACGATGAAATGAACCATGCTTGATTGCTGGTATGAAAACTAATCAAAAACTAGAGGGAAACTAGGGAGGAGTTTATTGGACAGGAGAAAGGAAATAAGTTGTTGATATATCAATTGGTATATGATTGGCAATTTTCTTGTACAGTATTTGATTGTTTTGTAGTATTTCTTTCACTAGAGTTTACAACTTTTGGAAATTAGAACCTCCTAATTTTCATTTTTGATAAAATTAATGTAGGTTCCATCAGTTTGAACATGGATATTAGATAAAATGGTGGAATCTATATAAGTTTTATTTAATCAAAATGTTGAAAAGATATTATCCTTCTGAGTTTGATATATATATATATATAAAAGCAAAACTTGTATCAAAAAGAAAGAGTTCTGGAAGTACTCAACCCTTACTAGAGGATGACAATACAAAGGAAAATGCTGTATCAAAAACTAAGCAAGAAACCCAACTGAATTTACAACGGATTGGTGCACCAATCGACTCTAAGCAAGAAACCCAACTGGATTTACAAGACAAACCAACAGATTGGCGCACCAATCGACTCTAAGCAACGGATTGGCGCACCAATCGACTCTAAGCAAGAAACCCAACTGGATTTACAAGACAAACCAATGGATTGGTGCATCAATCGACTCAACATCAAGCTTCGGCACCTTTGTTCCTACCTATGAACCAATCCCAAGCCAAGGCCCTGTCCACCAAACCATCTACCCGAATGGAAGCACCTTTGAACAAGTACACACATTTGAGTTTAAACTTTAAATCTCGTTATATATGAATTTTTTAGTGATTATTGACATTTTGTTTATAGATAGAAAATTTGAATAATACTTTTTACAAATTACTTTATTAAGTATTTTGATATATTTATCATTATCATTGATACAAAGAAAATAAATATATTATTTTTAACGTGATGCAAAAAATATTAATTCAAGGGAAAAAATAATAATATTGTATTGAAGATAAGTATTTCAATACACTTTCATTCAAATGAGTAGTGAACCAATTTTTATTTAGATATATTTACAAAAATAGATTGAAGATAAACTTCATTATTTTTTATTCACTAAAATTAACAAGAACAAATCCCATATCAGCTTAAAATAATATCAAGTAGTTAATCTCATAGAAAATAATGTAGGGAAAACATTTCTAATCAATTTAGTGATACACATTTGTTGCATTTGAATTAATAATATACTTTTGATCATACATACGTTTTAGTGTAAGCATGTATATGTAATTGAAAAGTAACACTTTTTTTTAGTATTTGGATAAATACTTCACTCTTCTAGTATATTTTTCATCAATTACACACATTATTATAATCATTATTTTTGTTGTATAAATTTCACTTAGTAGCACACATTGTAGTAATTTTTTAACTAATTAATTATTGATAGACATTTATATCATATTTAGATGAATGACACATTTTCCCTCTCTATTTACATCAAAGTATTTATATTAGAAAAAAATGTTTAATGCAAATATTAATTTATTTCTTGTTTAGATATTTATATGAATTTTTAACAATATTTTCTTTTTATACATTTTGATGCATAAATTTATTATGAGATTGGACAAAATATATTTTAAGGGATAGGACAAAAATATGAATTATTGTCCATTAACAAATTCTGAAACAAAATTTTTTTTCTCAAACATAAATTATCAAAAAATATCAAAATGCCATTTTTAATCTTTCTATTTAATATTTTAATTTATAAATATACTATTAATATTTTATTAATCAATAAAGAATATTATCATAAAATTAATATTATTTTTGTCCGAGACATAGACATATCAAATAAAATAAAGTAAGTTTTTTTCTTTTTACCATTTTTCTTCTCTTCCTCATTATTTAATATTTTAATTCATGAATATTGTTAGGTTGTATGTTTTATGATTGACTGCATTTTGTTAAAATAAATATTCTAGAGAGATGTTGTATCAGATGTCGTAATATGTTGGTGTCATATGAAGCTGATCTTGTTCAAGTATTCTAGCGAGATGTCATACTAGATGTCGTGACATCTTGGTGTTGTACTAAAGTTGATTTTGTTTCACGTTTTGGAAGATTTGATTTGATTAGTGAAGATTCTTTAAAGATTTGATTCCAGTATATTACACTCTAGTGTGTGTTTTTAAAAGCTCAAAGTTCGGTTCTAGTTGTGCAATATTCCCTCCATTCTCTTTTATAAGAAAATTTTAACTTTTTAGATTCATTGAATAATTAATATATCTAATTCATATATTATCCAAATACATTATTTATTCAATGAACCTAAAAAGTCAAAATTTGCTTATAAAAGAGAATGGAGGGTGTATTTCTTAAGAATGGTTGACATATCATTTAAGGAAACATGAGATTTGATGAAATTTGATTTGATTTGTTTCAGCAAAAGATTTGATTTGGAATTGAACTTTAGAAAATAATATATTATGGATATGCATTTAATAATATATTATTTTCCAGAATATTATGAAATTTAATAATATATTATTTTCCATAGTATTAATAATGTGTTATTTAATTTATCCCGATTTTCCCATCAAGTTTATATTTTTAGAAGGCTATTTATAAGAAGAATCAAAACCTAAAGAAGTAGGAGAGCCATATTTTTGTGAGAGTTTTTTTAGGGCTTTGTTTGTTCATTGTTATTTGTGATCCACTCTTATATCATCCTTGATATCTGAGTTATACTGTGAGTATTGTATTTATGAGTCATTCATGCATCAATTAGATGCTTGAAGTTGACTGAGTTTATTGAGTTGTAATTGTGAATCACTCATGAACTTTTAAGTAAGAGTGAATTTTGTGTCATTAGAAGTGTGTCTTCTATTGTTCGTTTTTATAAGTTTTTATCATTGTTATGTGATTGAAGGGGAGAGAGGGGGGTTTCTTATCTAAGAGTATCTTAGTTAAAAATCGTACGGGTAGTGATTAGGTGCGAAGATTGTAAGTTGGGGGTTGTTTACACAAGAGCTTCAAACTAATACTATTATAGTGGATTTCCTTCTTGGCTTGGTGGCCCCCAAATGTAGGTGACGTTGCACCAAACTGGGTTAACAACTTCCTTGTGTTATTTACTTCCTGCAATATTGTTTACATTGTTCATTGTTAATTATGTTATTACGATGTCTTAACATTGCATTCGACATCCTGGTGTATTGACATCGTATACGATATTTGTCCTCTTAGTGCTAGAATTTCAAATGGCATCAGAGCAAACACCCTATTTTGTTTTGGGTGAGCTCTAGGGAGATATCTTTTGGTACTATGGATAAGGAAGGAGGAGGAAATTTTAACAGACCCCCCGTCTTAGATGGAACCAACTATGACTATTGAAAGGCACATATGTGGCCTTTCTAGAATCTATGGATATCAAAACCTGAAAAGCTATCATCAAGGGTTGGGAACATCCTGTTGTTAAGGATAAAGATGGGAAGGAGACTTTGAAGTCAGAAGAGGACTGGTCTAAGGAAGAAGATGAAACTACTCTTGGAAACTCTAAAGCTTTGAATGCCATATTCAATGGAGTTCACAAAAACATGTTCAGATTAATAAACACCTTTAATATGGCAAAAGATGCTTGGGAAATTATCAAAACCACACATGGAGGCATATCTAAGGTGAAAATGTCTAGACTTCAGCTGCTCACTACGAGATTTGAAAATTTAAAGATGAAAGCATTCATGACTTTCACATGAATGTTCTTGAAATAGCAAATTCTTTTAGTGTCTTGGGATAAAAGCTGACTGAAGAAAAGCTGGTTAGAAAAAATCTCAGGTCTTTACCTAAGAGATTTGACATGAAGTTCACAACCATTGAAGAAGCCCAAGACATAAGCAAATTAAGAGTGAATGAACTTGTTAGGTCACTTCAAACATTTGAATTTGCTATCAATGAAAGTTCTGAAAAGAAAAACAAGAGCATAACTTTTATCTCCAACACTAATGATGAAGAGGTTCAATGTAACATGGAGATTTATGAAGAAATATCTAATGTTATTGTTCTTCTTGGGAGGCAATTCAATAAGGTGCTGAAGAGTATGGATAGGAAGTCAAAACCAGATGTCGAGAACATGTCATTCGACATCAAGAAGAACAATAACTTTTAGAGAAAAGCAAGAACAGAGGAGAAGCCAAATAAAGGAAAAGGTATTCAGTGTCATGAATGTGAGGGTTTTGGTCACGTTAGATCTGAATGTCCCACGTACCTCAAGAAACAAAAGAAGGGCTTATTTGATGATTATTCTGAAAGTGAACCTGATGATGAAACTGCTAAGCATGCTACAATACTCACTGGTATATGTGATTCTGATGAAGAGGTCACTTATGAAGAATTAGTTTCTTCCTATAAGGAACTTTGTATCAGAAATGAAGAAGTGTGTAAGTTAGGAGAATAGCAGAAGAGGCTTATAGCTCAACTTCGGGATGAAAAAGAGAAACTTATATCTAACATCTCTGAACTTTAAGGTAAAGTAGTTATATTGACCTCAAAGCTTGAAAATATGACCAAATCTATAAGGATGTTGAGTAATGGATTTGATGTGTTGGATAAGATTCTTCAAGTTGGGAAAGGAGGTAAAATATTTACTGGTATATGATTTAATTATCAGTCTTTAAATAATTAAAGAAAAACCCCTGTGACAAAGTTTGTTCCTGCTGAAGTAAAGGGTGAGCTCATAATGTCTAACCAAATGTTACAACATCTGGCTAGACTTCAGAAAACTCAAATAAGAGGCAAGTTCCAGCCTTGGAAATGTCATTATTATGGTAAATATGGTCATATAAAGCCCTTTTCTTACAGACTGTATGGTTACCCAAAGCATCCAACACAACCTATGACTAATCATGTGAAAACTAAAACTAGAAAGGAGTGGAAACCTAAGGTTGTTAATTCTAGTCTTATAGCCCATACTTCCTTTAGGGCTTCATCTAGAGGAGACTGGTAATTTGACATTGGGTGTTCT